CCAGTTGTCCAATTTGGAAAGTTTTCCTTAAACCGGGTAGTTTCACAAGAGTGGCACCAAGCAAAATTAGTCCTAAATTTCCCGCAATCAAAACATTTTTTATGTGTAATTTGCGCTTCGATACAAAATTCATCCGTTTGGAATTGTATTGACAATTCATCATCGCTTTCTTCGTTATTAGAATCCAAGTGACTTAAAATCCTTAATTTAATAGATTCGATTCGATTAATTAGGGATGAGGTGACATGTACATGTATTATAATAGGAAATCTATTAATACATGCACATGATCTTCAGCTGATTACATATTAAAAATAACATACATTTTTCTGAGATCTGAGCAAGTAATTTGAAAAAAGAAAAACGCGTGCTTTTATAAAAAATATTACCATAGTAGCCAAATAAGGTTACCGTATACTCCTAACTCCCTACGTCATCATTTTTGAAGTAAGGGTTGCTTGTAGTTCAGAAATCCCTTGAAAAATACTGGGCAGGGGTCGTATAAAGGGTATATGCATATGTGTACGATTGTAAAAATGTGCCTAACTTTACGCAACGCACAAAATTGAAATTTCCGATTTCAAATTTTTTTTTACTATTTATATTTTTTTTCGCATCACGATCTACCTACCTTGCTAACATTATCCAGCTCAACATAAAAAATGAGTACTAACTCTGGCAACGTTAGTACCAAGCCAACTCGGGTCAAAAAACGCGTACAAAGAACTGCATATAAGACATCTGAGAAGCTTGTCATTATTCTGAAGCCAAAAAATTTGGCATTTTGGCAGCAGCGTGTCGTTTTGGTGTTGACAAGTCGATGGTGTCATGGTGGATGCCAAATGAGGAAAATTTTAATATCAAAAAATCGACGTGTTGGTGCAGGAAGAATTGCTGCTTATCCAGCAGCTGAAGAGGTAATTGTCAATTGGATTCACAAGCTTCGACTTATTGGAATTGCGATAACATCTGCAGCTATCAAAATGAAATGATCACTATCCTTAAAACAACCTGTTCAGACCATTATCCAGATGCTGCTAATAAGTTTCATGCTTCTGATTCTTGATTTTATCAGTTTTTAAAGAGATACAGTCTTTCATTCCAACATTACACTAAAATTGATCAAAAATTGCCCGAAGATCTCAGTGAAAAAATTATTAAATTCCAAAAATTTGTAATTCAATCTTGATTAACTTACAAGTATGATCTTTCTCACATTACCAATATGAATGAAACACCAATTTATTTTGACATGGCTGGAACTATTACAATTGATATAAAAGGCACTAAGACTATTCATATTCAAAACAACTAGCAATAACAAAAATCAGTTTATATGTATTTTGACTATTATGACTGATGATGATAAACTTTCTCCTATGATAATTTTCAAAGTTGTATAAATTTTTCTCAAGATATGATATGTATGTATGAAAAAGCTTGGATGAATGAATATTTGATATTGTGAATAGATTGAACAAATTTAGAATAAATAATCTGGAATAATAATAACAAAAAAATCTGTATTATTACTTGTTATAAATTTATTAAAGAATATAAAACTAAATTTATATATTACAAATACAATATTAATAATACTTATATTATAATTAATTAATATTTATTATATAATCTTTAGATAAATATATTTAAAGACAGATTAAGAAAAAAATAATATTTATAAGTGAGTAATGGTAAAATATTTATTGATAAAAGATAGAAATTTAAAAAAGTCCAGATATAATTTAATTTATCAATGAATTTTAAAGATATAAAATAATAATTCTATAGAAATAATTATTAAATCATTTAAAAATTATGAGATTTTTAATGCATTAAATGGAAATAAAAATGATTTATTATATAATTCAGATATAGAAATAAGTAAATTAATAATATAATTGAGATAATTAATAAAAATAAAAGTTTAGTTGATAAATTAAAATAAAATAAATATTAATAAAATCATTTTATTTATTAAATAATAATTTTAAAAAAGAGATTTCTTATTAACTTTTTCAAGACTTTTAGATTTGAAGAGAAAAGAGTTGCTTATTTTCAAGAGTTATTTAAATTCAGAAATATAAAATAGTATTGTTATCATAATAACATAAAATTTCTTAATTTCTCAATCTTTCTCTAGTTATGCAAAATTATATATTTTTATATTTTTTATTTATTTTATAAATATTTCTATTTCTATATCATATATTACTATATTTATTATCATAATTCTATTTTTAAACATTATATTTTATTTAATGTTTGAAATCTACATTTTTATTATCTTATAATATAATATTCATATACATAATAGAATAGTGAAAGATTATTTTTAATTTTGATGGAATAGTTATACTTGGATGATGATCTCAAATATCTTTTCTTGTTCTTTGACATCTTTTGATATTCTCTCATATTCTTTTATATCTTTCCATATTTTTTTATATCTTTTCACATCTTTCAATATCTTTTTATATCTTTCAATATTCTTTCACATACTTTAATATTCTTCAACATTCTTTGATATCTTTTAATATACTTTAATATAATCTATTTCAAATTAATTATACTATAGTACTTTAATTATATCTTGTATACTAGATAGTATTA